ACTGAATCATATCCTGAGATTGACATAATATCTTTCTTGGAAACAAAGAAAAACTTCACATTTCTACACAAGTTAGGTGGAGGTATTTTCCGAGACACTTTATTTGGAATTGAGGCAATAAATAAAGACGAACTCGCAAAATCAACCCGCCAGGTTGAATGTGGTTGCCTGCAATGATACAGACATCAGAATACTGGGGCAGGGAGGGGCAGGGGAGCGCCAGAGGGGGAGGGGGAACTAGAATTCTCGTCCGTTTGGTCATGGTTTCGTGTAGGTCGAGGTTGCGTGCCTAGACTTAAGACTGAGGGCGGTAAAGCGAGTTAGCGGTTCCTTCTTTGTTTTCTGGAACAAGTCTCAAGTTAAAGTGGGATTTTGGTTTTAGTTGTCACTTTAAACAGATCAGCCAATTTTTTCTCGGATTTGCTTCGTTGGTTCTTTTACTCTGCGCTTACAACTAGCGAGGTCACGTATCGCAGCCAAACACAGAACTGGACGTTGGTGGTGGGGTTGTTTTTCGTCTGAAGGCAGTTTTACTGGAAAATATCAGGTGGACATAAAAAGGCTCCACGGAAAAAACTCACTGGCGGACGCCACAGAGTATTGACTGAGGTAGGAATAAGATTTTAAAGATGACTTCCCAAAGGCACGCGTTGCAGACTGTTTATCAATAAGCTGTATAAACAAGTTCTCTATTGAGTCAGGCCATTAATCTTGCTTCATGGAAAGATTACAAAAATTACCGTCTCAGCTGGGAGATAAGAAGCCTCCTGGAACAAAAGAATTGATGTTGTCTTGATTTTCATCTCAACGTTATGTCGGACCCTGCCGAGAGATTTTCATTCGCGAAAACATTGACTTACATGATTGAGGTATCATGGAACAATGCCAATGTTAAAGATCACTTCGTTGGAACACTATGATAAGCATAAGTTGCCCTTGAAGTCGCGATCTTAATTTTCAATTCTAGCCGTTTACCACGGTCTTCCATTAAAAGTCATTAACACAATTTTGCGCCGCTGAGGTCTGTCGAAAATAACTTACGTTACTCGTTTTCTTACCAGTGACTGTATAGATATTGAGAGAACAAATTGGATGTGAATCACTATTGGGAGTTTGAAGACTTAACTCTGTTTGAGAACAACCTGGGAGGGTAAGAAAATAATTTTCAAAAGCGTAGCTTAGGCGGCGTAAAAGCTATAGGTGGTCTGGAATGGAGAAACAGGGGGAAAAGCTCCTATTTATAAAATTTTAAAAAAGGGTTACGAAAATCCCTTGAAGAATGCCTAAAGAAATTTTATCAACTGGTCAATCTTGACAGTTATCAAACGTTCAGAGAAAATATTGGATAATTTGATTTTGATTGATTTTCAACTGTTGAAGCACGCTATTTAGTGGGATTAAACAAACAAACGATAAAACTGTTTTCATTTAGAACTACCGGAAGTTTGATATCTTTTACCCCAAGTTTTGCTTACTCGATCCCTGTATCCCTTATGCTCTCTCTGGCGCAGCAGCTTTTGAAAATTCTGGCATCATAACTGACTGCATTGGTCATTTTGCGTCGTTGTGAGAAAAAAATTCCAGGCACCCTTAGGAGCTTGTTAAATGTACGAATTCCTTTTCAAATTACTAGTTACAATTTGTCAATTATTCGTGACAGTAATTAAATAATTTTGTATACCTGAATTGCCGCACATATCTGAGTTTATGGAGTCCTTTAATGTTGATTAATTAATTACATGTCATCGAAAGGAAAGCTATGAACAGCTGCTACTGAGAAAGCAAACTCCTTCAACGATTTGATGTGTCGTATATTATGGCACTTGAATAAACATACACTTCCTATAATAATGAGTTTGAATTTGAGAAAGAACCTGTCTTTCTCGCTTACTACAACTTCTGAACATATAGACTCTCTTTACTTTGGATTTTGCAGGCATTTTTTTACGTTTCCTTCGGAAAGGTGCTATTTTCGGGCAGTGAAAACATGTACGGTTTATGGGCCGATCCTACTGTTAAACACCATCACGAAAATGCCAAAAATAAAAAAAAGTACCCAATTTTTACCAGATAAGAAACATTTTTGGTGGGTTTTGTTTGCGTTTTTGTGTAATAAAAAATACAAGTGAATCACTCATTGAGCTTTATAATCTGTAGTTTCTTCTTCTGACTTGGATGTCTCAGCAACTTTTGAGGTCTCGGATTTCGGAATCTTAAATAACAACCGCCAAGTTGCATCCGGCCTTACGTGTTTTCGTGGGCACATAACTTTTGGAGGTTGGTTACTTTTGAAACTTTACAGAATGTCTTCGAAAGTTGAAACCTAGACTTTGATTTTCGTTTTCCTCTCTAATCTGGAAGTCTGGACCCGGCTTTATCTTCGGAGGAGAGTTATAAATTATGACTACAAATATCCGTCATTAATTTTCTCTCTCAATATTGTCTTATTTGCAACATGGCATTTGTATGTTTTTTATGCCTTTTAACATTATCAAGCAAATTCTTTGATTGAAGAAAGAAATAATTGACATGATTAAAATATCTTCAGCTCGTGCAATCTCTTATCTGAAATATCTTCTTCTCTAGTGGAGAGGAATTAATTCGAACTCAAATTTTGAAGTGGGTAATTAATTACTGTCGTCTTTGCCGGAATGCCTAAATTTGATTCTGGGGAAGGTCGAAGTCATTAGTACATGTATCTACATGTATGTATGGGTACAATCGTTTATTTCTTTGGGCGTGAACTGGCGTTTGCATACCCCAAGGTTGGTACATTTTATTTAACAAGTGCTATCGTTGTACCGTTTATGGACGGTGTAATCAAGTCTGGGCGGGAACACAAGTAAATTACATTATGATTCTTCAGAGTTCATCCGAGAGGTTTGCCTTGGTTTTGCACGTGAATTAACGCACACTCAATTTTCTAATTGCTTCTGCAATATTAATTTATGTCATCGTTGTCGCTTTTATGGTAGCCGTATTCGATATCTAAATTCCAGCGGGAATAAATAAAATACAAAAAGAAAAAAAGTTTGAGAATAGAGAGCCACCCAACGCAAGACCTCGCAGTGGACTGTTGCCAGATCTCTTCTCAGCTGTGGTAAGAAACGCACTTGCCACACTTAACTGTTTGTTTGTTTGTTTTTTTGTAAATAGAGCGCCACTCAAAGCAAGACCCTGTATAGTAGTGGCCTATTGCCAGATCTTTTCTCGGCTTAAGTTAGAAATGCACGTGCAAGATTTAAGACTTAAGGTCACTTTTGTCGTAGTACGAATACACGTTTTTTTTTTTCTTTAACTTTTTTTTCGCACATACTCATTTTTTTGGACACGAACCGAACGTATATCGGTATTTTTGGTCACCCAGTAGTAAAAATTGCCACTTCTGTGAGAGTTCTCAAAGGTTTATTTCAGTTTGGGCGCGAACGCAGAGAGTCCAGAGAAGAGGCAGGCCTGAATAGGTTTGTTTTTTAAACGACAACAAAAAACAGGTCGAGGCATGAAAGACAAATCAAAATGCACAAATAGACTTGTCAAAAGCGTTAAAACACTTTCAATCGCAGCTTTGAAAAACTAACTAGTTTTCCTTGATGTTTTGCATACGATTGTTTAGACAAATCTTTGGTGGTTTATCAAAACAGTTCCGATATTTTTTAATCGTCTAATATTTATCGCTCCAAGAAAATTTAGATGATGGTTGTGAAAGGATTGTAAAAAACGCATGGGCTCTGTCAGGTTATGCACATTCTTTTCCCCATTTCATTTTCATTTCATTTCATTTCTTCTTCCCTACCAATTTTCTCTTCGAGCATTTTGGCACGGCATTCATTAACCCATAAAACCTAATCTGTCTCATGCGCAGCCTCGGTAAAATAATACCAAGCGATCCTTATTTGAAAAGCTGTCTCTGTATGTTCGGGGTCGCAGAGATGGGAGTGAACTTTAGACCAACTGGGCTCATTAATTACATTACATTGATTCACTGCGTTCGCCTGGGAAAGTGACCTCAGAGAGCATTCTAGTAAAAAAAAGATTCGTCACTGATCGGCATAGCACGCAATATATTTACGGTTTCAATCTAATTGTGGTCATTTCTTTCAGCGCTATAATCCGGTTGTGGGCGCCCAACCTTGCTAGCGATATGCCGGCTAAAAATCTCGTGAAGTACATGCACTATCCCCAGATAAACAATTTAGCGTCCAATGTCAACCTCTTATCAGTGATTTCCAGTGCGAGATAACGCAATGACAGTCACTTCGCAGGTCCTTGTAAGGCAAATGCAAGTAAAGGGAACATTCCATGTGAATACCGATGAAAGTAATTGGGTAAAAAGATGTTTTATTGCGATTCAGCAATCATGTTATTCTAAGCATAGCCTTGTAAAAAACTTCTAGACAGTTAATTAAGGGCTGTTTACTGAACGGTAAATTTTACCACAAGAGTGATCTGATGAAGTGACATTCAGTTCTTCCAAACAGATTACTGCCGCCATTGTTATTAAACCTATTAACACAGGTTAAAACTGTGTTTTTAATTTGACGCGGATAAGTTCTGAAGAGATACGAATATCACAATCTTTATTTTCTCCAGTCATGTTCAAAAAGCACATGATCAAATTTACGCTATGGATTATCTTTTACAGGTGCTTTCAAGACAATTTAGCGGCAGAAAAAAGTTCTGTTCATGTGAGATGGAAGTCAAATACTTGTTCTTTCTCCTACTTGTGTGTTTAGCAAATTTTCAAGGTGAGTTTATGTGATGTTGTCTTTTTACTGGGTAAGACTTTCTATCATAACATAGTTAACATTAAGAACAAGCCAGGAAAGTGATATTTTGTGGCGCCTGAAATAACAAACATAGTTGAATTGAACGCTCACAACAAAGTGATTTAAGTTTTTAATAATTATAACATGCGGTGTTTCTGGAGAAATCCAACCAAATTTTGTTTCTGTTTTCGTTCGGCTTCACTGTTCAGCAAAAGAACCTTATTCCTATAAAAATTGTTGTGTTAGAAAATTCAACTTCTAAAAAGATATTTGTACATGTACGTTTCTGTGGCCTAAAACCATAAATTAGAGGGGACCAAAAACGGAACGGCCGGGAAAATCTTTTCAAACCGTTCTTTGCTTTTTACCTCGGGTCATTTTTTTTTTTCTATGTCAGATGCCAGTCGAAAATTCTGGTTCCCGGACAACCAGAGGGTTTTGTTTAATTAAAACATGGTTAACAAGAACTTAATCGAACTTGACAGCCATTTATTTCTCAGGTGAATTCGATAAAATTTTGTTCCGGGGATCTAATCAAGTGAAAAGACTTCCATGCCTTAATCAAAGAGGGTGGACTAACAAAAACGAAAACGGAAATTTGATTTTGTGCAAGAACCTACAGCTAAACATATGAAAGACATGGATGGCTATATATAAACACAGCAAGGAAGAAGATTGATTACAATATCGAAAGCTTGAAAACGAACACGCGAGGCGGATTAGATGTTTCTCAAGTTTGCCTGCAAATTCCTTTGGAACATTTTCAAGCATATTGTTACAACATGATTTTTATTTCGGTGAGAAATTCTTTGCATAGTTATTGCGAGTTCATAAAGTTCTTCTTTTTTCCAGTAGATCAGGAAAAAAATTTCTTCAGTATTTTAAAGTTCAGTTGGCGATAGTGAAACTTAGTAAACTGTTTCGGTGGGCCGTTTATCTTGTCCGCCTGAGTTAAGTCTATAAATTTTAACAAAGTGAAGGCCAGAGGTGAATTGCCTATCTTATGAAATATGCTATTGCTTTGCTGTAATAGATAGTACTATATAAAATTGCGCGGTAATCTGACATAACAGAGATAACATCGCGGTTTTGGCATCAACTTTGTAAGTTCTGTTTATTAACGCACATTGCCTTTGACATAGAATCATTAATTAAGAACGTCTTGGAAACACCTCTGCGACATGTATTTTTCTTAGTCTCATTTCATTGATCGGCGTATTATTAAGGTTAGCAGAAGTTCTCGGAAATCTTACTTAAAAGTCGTGACCACGAAAAAAGTTTATAGAATGCATAACCACTCAAATGTGTGAAACGGAATTTGTGAAAATTAAGGACCTCTCCACCCCGTGTCTTCAAAAAACAAGACTTTTCCATGCAGGAAGACTTGAATTGAAATTAAATACAGCGAAGGATGGTCGAGTTACGTTTTGTTTTATTGTTCTATATCACATTAGATTTGAGGTCAATTACTGAATAAACCATCTGGCAGAACTGATTAAAGTATGTTTAGTGCTCTACAAGTCAGAAACAGATGTTCAAACAAGATGCCAAATGCACATGCGCGATGTGTGATTCAATTAAATTTTATGAAATTTCCAAAGTTATATAACGCGACCATGCCTGGGCACAAGGGGATTCTTGTGGTGACTTTCTTAATATTATATCAATGGACTTTTTCGAACATAAATTTGGTCACAGGAAAAAAATTAACTCCATCACGAGGGAAGGTTTTTGCATTCAATTTAACAACTTCAATCCCCTAAGTTTAAACGGCATTTAGATTGTTTATTGTGTTGTACAAACTCTAAAATCCCTGAATCCTTAAAAGCTCAAATCTGTTTCCATTTTTCGTTCATCTTGCACTCCTTATTTCTCCTTGCAGTTGTACTTGGTGTCCTGTCAAAAGTTACTGTTAAAGAAGGAGAAAATGCGACCCTGCCTTGTAGTACTTCCTTCCAAGGAGGAATCTTGTACAAAACGACCTGGTTTAAAGGAACACAAAAGCTCATGGTTATCCAAACTGCAAGAACCCCAGGCCTTCCACCTTCCATTTACAAATATTCTCAGCGAAAAAATCCGTATTCCCTAGTTGGTCAACAATCTCTTTGGTTAACTGGGGTCGATCGACATGATCATGGTAACTACTCTTGCACTGCCGTTTATCTGCTGCATAATTTTGACTTCAAGAGCGTCAAAGAAGACGTCATGCTGCTAGTGAAAGGTAAGACTAAAGACTAATCTTTGTTTACAATATTTAGCTCATTAGCGTAAGCGATTCATTGTCGTTCTAGCTTCAAAATTATCAGTTCTGAATATTGAAAGGGCATAGCACGATTAACTTTGCCAAGGAACTTAAGCCCGATGCGTTGAATATTTTTTTCCTCTTGGCGAGATACGAGGTATTTTAATAGACATTTTTCCCTAGGCAATCCGTTTCCTTACTTTTTGTGACTTCACAATTATTTTTTCCGAAGCAAGATTTCGCATTTCCTCAGTCATTTCTGATGCGGCGTATCACTCTAAACCGAACCGTTCGTATGCTTAACAACAAACAGCAACAACAACATCAACAACAACAACAACAACAACAACATCAACAACATCAACAACAACAACAACATCGAGAGCAACAACAGCAACAGCATTTCTTTGACCCATGTTTGCGACAACGGACCCCCCCCCCGGGGGGGTACTCCCTTGTATGGGCTATAATAGGTATGTGCAGCCCCAATGGGTATGTTTTTTTCAGCCATTTTGGTCATAAATAGGGTATGGTCTTTGCTTTCTAGTCTTGAATTGTGAATTCTTTTAGAAGAAGCTACTTTTTCATCATTATTGATAAGAACATCAACAAAAGCCCTTCATAAATGTTTGGGGCAACTGTGCCAGCCACAACAGTCATAAATAGGGTATCAAATTTTTGGCTAGGTCATAAATAGGGTAGGGAAAATCGCAGATTTTGGTCATAAATACATGTAGGGAAAGGTTTTTGGGAAGCGGGCCGCACACCCCCCACCCAACTTTTCAGAGAGTACCCCCCCGGGAGATGGAATAACATCCTACTCAACGACATTTTACATACATAGTTGTAATGACACAAAATAGAAAAGAATAATCTGACCACACACTACAACGCGTAACATGCTATCACAATCCGCGAGTTAAAAATGTTTGAAATTGTTCTCGGTCAACGAGAAACCTGTTTTCAAATTTCAGCCCATCCCATAATTAGCACCACAAGTCCATCGATTCAAAATATTACCAAATCGGAAAAAGCACATGATCTCAAGCTCCATTGCAGCGTCAGTGCTTTTCCAAAGGCTGGCCCTACTTGGCAGAGAATTGATGGACAGCTTCCAATCGACAGAACCAATCAGGAACCCAATGGCACGCTGTTGATTAGGGATGTGTCTGCAGAGGACAGTGGGACATACATCTGCGCCGCTTCCAACGAACTTGGAGAGGATCAAGTGAACTTCACTGTCACCATCTTTGGTAACTAAAATAATTCTTCGTATTTATATCGTGAACATGAAAAGGAATTTTCTTTTCATGACTGTTTCACCAGGGATTCTTGTCACACTCAGAAGTAATCTGAGGTTCTGACGTAAAGATGGTGTGAGAATTAACATTTTTAGAGGAAAAAAAAAAAAACAAGCGATTCTCCTATCGTTTTTGCCCGTGTTTCTATCAAGTTATGGAAACACTTGCAAAAGTTTGAGAAAATAGTGGGGAAAAAGTCGCCCTCGACTCGTGTTCCCAACACACTTCTAGTTCTCCCAGAGTTCCACTATTTTTTTATAACTGGATGAACACAAATTTTATAACGCCACGGTGGCCATATTGTGAAATTTATCTCTTTGGAGGAAACGAGTTCTTGACTTTTCCAATTGCACTCGTTTACAATCTTTGGGAAAACTAATGCGGCTACTGTGATAAGCCTTATACTGAAAAGTGGTTCTAGAGAAGCTGTTTTTGAAGTAAAAAAACCTCTGCATACAATCTAGGGCGAGAAGAATGAAACTGGTGCTTCAAGGATGAACTAATCTGATGTTATTATGTCAGACGTAGTCTCTCTCGCCTCTGATAAGTTTTCTCAGTTGAATATACAATGAAAAATACCTTTGCGGTTCTTCAGTTTAGTACTCAAGGCAAGTTTTTAACTCCGCAGAACAACCTAGAATCTTTGGAAAGCGAAAATTTCACGCCAATGTCGGTGAGGCAGCCAAGTTGATTTGCGTTTCTCGCGGAAATCCTGCCCCGGCGTTCACGTGGTCCTGGAATAATGCTGATAACAACACTATTATTATCAGACAAGGCGAGGAAATAAGCGGGTACAGCGTGACAACGTTACATGGTAACACAACGAGCCAGAGCACTCTTGAGATTGTGAAGGTCACGAAAGAATCGTGGATGATCTATACGTGTGAAGTGGTCAACGCTATTGGAACAAGTACTGCTTATATCTCCCTTTCGGGAAAAAGTAAGTTCTTTTTTATTGTGTGACGTGGTATCGTGATGTTAAAAAGATACCGCTGTGAAAGAGACTTACTAAACAGCGATCAGGATGCAATTTCTCCTGAGAATGCTCAATACAGAGTAATACTTATAAGTAATGAGAATAAAGGAGCTGATCACTGTTTACTGTAGAAATTAATATTTAAACAAATTGTCCAGAATGGTACAATAAAAAATGCGTGGGGAACTTTACAGAGAATTCGCAATATAATCAGCCCTTCATTTTTTTTCCAGCTCGTCCAGAAAGTCCAACTATTCTGTCCGTTGAGACTAGTGTTACAGGTGCAGTGGTCACGTGGAAATTTGGCGACGATGGGGGCCTGGAGCTGACCGCTTTAAAACTCCAGTACAAGAAGGACTCTCAAAGTGACTGGCAGGAGATTCAGATCAAGCCGCCAAACAAAGTCAAGTACATTATCATGGACCTCGAGCCCAACACCAACTATAAGTTCCGTATTCTAGCAACCAACAGCCTGGGTACCAGTCCTCCTAGTTCAATTTATCTTAAGACCACGAAATCGGGTACGTGAGCGTTTTGTAATACCGGTTTGAAAGTTTCGCTCAATTTTTCAAATATTTCTCCTACCTTTTTCAAGTCATGATCTATGTTAATTTTTATCGAGTCATAGCCGTTTAGTATTCGCCCATTAAGACCTATTTAATGTTTAACTACCTAAGGGTATATTATTTTTAAGCTTTCTATGATAGCGCATCAAATCATAACATCACTAATATATCGCGAGCTAGTCGACAGCGACCGATATCCGTAATGTTATCTAGGGGCATAACTAGTATGATCGCTTACCGGAGATTAAGAGAGACGACCTACTCGCTTAGGTAGTACTAATAATATTTGTATTTTTGTCCATCTTTCTATTTTTCTTTTTGATATGACTGCATTAACCCAAGGAAGCACGGAAAGCCGCAAAACTCTAGAACAAAACTTTATTTTTCAAATCGGCACTCTTAATCCCCACGATATCAACGAACGCTTTTCATTCAACTAATTTATTCTGTTGCTTTTCATGTTACCATGCGCCAACCAATAGCATAGCTCCATCCTTCTGTATATAAACCACACACAACCCACAGTTCCTCGATTCGCTCCGACGAAGGGCTAACGCTCGAAACGTCAGCTTTCGAATCTCTTTACGGGGGCTAATTTACGTTGTCAACCCAGTTGATAAAACCAAATTATCCTGTTATACTCCCCACTACAGTTTCTTTAGAAACTTACCCCCTCTATGCATTAAACCAAGCTTATCTCTTGCAGAATCCAACACCAGTGCGCATGCCAAGAAAGGTCTTGCCGCACTCACTGACAACATGACAGTGCTGATCGCGGCTGTCGTCGGAGGGTTTCTCGTCATCATTATTGCAATCATTGGAGTGTTCTGTTTTGTCAGAAAAGTGCACAAGAACAGCACCCCGAGAAATACACCAGTGAACAGCCGTCCAACAAGCCAACGGGAACAAGCTGAAATGACCTCGGTAAGGGCGCTAAACTCTTGTAAAGACCCTATAAGTTTATTAGATTTTTGCTTGTTAATGTTGTTGGTTGATGTTGTTACTTGTTAGTGTTCAGGGGCCCGTTTCTCGAAAGCACCGGAAACTTTTCGGGCCTGAAAAACCATAGCAAAATCTCCAAACTTACGATTACAGAGCTGTTTTATTCACCTGTTCTTAATATGAACAGCGGTTCCCTTCATACAAGAAGTTTCAGGCGTATACACATCTCCGTTTTTAGATACAGATGAACTACAAAATGGCTTTACGGGCTCGAAAAGTTTCCGGGGCTTTCGAGAAACGGGCCCCTGATCAATGAACACGTGCCATGATCGGGTTTGGTCACATTGCACGAGACTTCATACAAACACACAGTTATTACGTGTAGTTGCATTTTGTTGGGAAAGTGATCGCTTTTTGTGGGGTAAACAGAAAATGTTCTGTGCTTTCGGAAAACATGGAAAATGGTTGCTTCTTGCTCACATATTTACGTGATGCAAATACTTGAGGAAGTTGAGGAGAATTCGGCAAGAAACCACTCGGCTGTGGCTCGGATTCAATAATCATCTTTACTATAATTTCATTACACTTTTCTATGGTAACGCCCTGGGAAATCAAACCATTATAATTGGGTTTCCTTTCATGTGGGTTAGTTCTTTCACATCATATCAGTGAAACGACCAGTGTATAGTGGATTTGACTTTCATAACTTATAGTCCAATCTGATATTCGCAGAGCCACAGCAGAAACAAATTGAATAACCCAGAGTTTCGTAACGGCAACAACGAGCCATCTATCATGCGCGATTTATTGGATTGAAAACTTACGTTTTTCCTGTTATTTTCTCATTTCTTAGTTATTGACCCATACCATTCCAAATATACCCCTTCCTCAACCCCTCGTGGAACAGGGAGCCACGGCAAGCCAGTTATCCAACAACCCCTGGGAATTTCCACGTAACAGAGTTGACTTGCAAGTGGTTCTGGGATCCGGCGCGTTTGGCCTGGTAATGAAAGCTCAGGCGCAGGGCATCAAGGGATGCGTGGGTAAAATGTATGTCGCTGTAAAGATTGTCAAAGGCAAGTATTTTACACGACACTACATTGATACCATGAGAACAGTTGTGTCTAATTTAAAAATCCGTTTGATATTTAATGTAAAAAGCATGTTAAGTGTGGCGCTTCCTACTAGAGCCCATAAATCGAAATATTCACGCTGACAAGGCTAGTTTAATTAATGAACTTTATGGCCACGGAATGGGAGCGAATATCTTGTATTCTTGTGCAATGAGGTGCGCTTTCTGCTGGACCGTGTTTTCCCACTCGAACTTGTTTTAACATGGGAAATAACGTTCTTTGAATGCTTCCGGTAACATGTTCCCCTGAAGTTTCCACCAGTTGTATGTTTTCCTGGGCTTTCCACCGTTTTCGAATTTCCCTTACTTGTTAGTGTGACACTATGTTCCGAACTTGCTCAGTATTAGATACATGAATTCCCGCGCTTCCACCCGCTAACTGTTCCCCACGTACAAGTTTTCCCGCGCTTTCGATCAGTTACCTGTTTTCCTGCTATTAGGGGTTAAGCGTATCAATTAAGTTTACAGCTGTAGTTATCTGCTCTGTAATTGCTTTAATTTTTAAAATAATGTAACCATCATCAAACAGCGTAATGCACAGTTGTTCAATTATTGACTTTCATTTCTTATTGCTCTCTTAGAAAATGACAGTGAAACAGCCAGGAGAGACCTCCTAGCAGAGTTAGAACTCCTTAAACTGATCGAACCGCATCCTAATGTTATCGGTTTATTGGGATGCTGTACCAGGACAGGTTAGTTTAACTCACAAATAAATACCCGTTAACCATTCTCCCGTTATGTACCATTCTTTTTCTTTTTGAAGACAGAACAGTTTCCTGGCTCTCGGAAGGTGGCTACCGACCAAAAAGCTATGATGTTTAAACTACACTTATTTAGCAAATTTTATTTTAGTGAAAGATTTAAGCGACAATTTTGCATGATTTAGATCATGAAGTTGCTAAATCTGCTAAATTACTAGTAGTTGTTACACTAACGTGTTTACTGTACACTCATGTTTACCCTTGTGCCCGTGCGGAATGGTGTAGACAGCGTAAAGTCTGGTAGCGGTGTAGCTCTTAGAATTGTGAACTTATGAGTGTTCGCTTCTTTAAGCTTCTGAACATGATTTCAAATTGTTTTGATTCTCAGCGATATCTTTTCCTAGTAAACTATATTTCACAGTCAGTCATAATTCGAGTGACCTTGATAAAGCGCTTTTCATCGATCAGTCATCCATAATCCATCTTATTAAGCCATAGGACGCAAAAGTCCTCCACAGTCTCTCTCAGCCAGAGAGGTCTTGTGTCACCTTTCAGAATTCAGTCAGGTCAGGCGCATGTACTTAAGTTCTTTCTCCGCTGACTTTCTCCAACTTTTCCTTGACCTACACCATTGCCTTTTTCCTCTGCTGTCCGTAACTTGTAAACCTGCTTTAGCAACGCCGGTCAACGACACGCAATGAAAATACAGGTCTGGAAGAGGTGCGGGTGTACTGGAAAATTAAGGTAGCTGTTTTAATTTTACCCAACAGAACCGTTGATGGTAATAGTGGAATTCTGCGCGTATGGCGACCTTCAGAGTTATCTCCGTCACTGTCGTGGAGTGGAAGACAAATATTATGAAGACTTGTACAAAGTTCCCGCGGATAAACTGGGCTCTAGGGATCTCCTATCGTTTGCCATTCAGACTGCAAGAGGCATGGCACATCTGGCTGGCATGAAGGTACGAGTAATACGGAGGTCTGGGCTCTAGCTTGGCCGGGGTCTTTTCTCTGACAGTGTTTCTCTCTACCCGGGGATGTTGTCGGCACCATAATACCATGATATAAGACAACGATAGATAGAATACTGCAATTATTTTGCCTCAGGTGCTGGTTATAATGCGTTCTTTGAATTTGGAAACTGAAAATGAAAAAGGCATGGAGAGAATAAGAGGAATGCCTAACTCGTTCCCAGTTTCTATCCTCTTTCCTGACCTGGAGGCCAGGCTGTCAGAATTAAAATCAATTTGATTTTTTGGGTTATATTTTGGGTCACGAACAGGTGGTTCACAGAGATCTTGCCGCCAGGAATGTTTTAATTGACGAAAACAAAGTTTGTAAAGTCGCCGACTTCGGCTTCGCCAGGGACATCTACGTAGAAGATCATTACACGAGGAAGACACAAGTGAGTTTTGTTTACTTATTATTTTAGTTATTTGCTGCAAATATTTATTACATCTAACTGATTACCATGCATTTTATTAAGTCGAAACTTAGTAAACATCGTCATTATGATTATGCAATCGTCGCTTGTCGCATTCTGGGTTGACGAGCTAACAGTATTGAAAAAACTAGTGTTGGAATAAAAATAATGCATGTAAATGAAAAAAATATGTGAATTCAGTTTATTGTGGAAAAGGGTTTATGTCTGTGAATGTGATTAGACAGTTTATTTTCCCAGCTCAGATTATTTTGAATTGAGGCAATCATAGTTTCTAAGTACTTTTGCGCTTAAAAGCCAGTGCCGGTTTTTTTTTCTTTGTTCGTTTTGTGGTGTATATATTTTTATATGGTTTATATTTTCTTTCGGGCTCAAGGCGGGGGTTTTAAGTCTAAAAATATCACAAAGTGACATAAAATAGCAATCATATTATCACTTAGTGGGTCAGAGAAAGGGAAAATATATTTTCTGTTCTTTGCATAGGGTGGACGATTTCCAATCAAATGGATGGCCATAGAATCCCTTTTAGACGGAGTCTCCACATCAAAAAGCGATGTGTAAGTAGAACAGATGGTCTGTCGTTAAAAATATGGCAACTTTGCAATTAATATATCAAACAAAAAAGACTGTTTTTGACCACATTTTCCAAACACCGAGAAGAGTGTTGAAAACACGAGTCGTAGCTCGTAGCGTTCACAGCGCTTTTCAGTTTTAAATACATGTTTCGACAGTTACTTCTGTCATATCGTCAGTTATAACTAGAGTGAATTTGAATATACAAGGTATTATACAAGTTTTATGCAATAGCTGTTACCTAGAATGACTTACAAAACGTACACGAATAAATTACCTGGAATTGAAAACAAAAGACGATGACAGAAGTTACTAGGAGAAGTTATTAGTGGCGTGCTGCTAACAAAAATTTTCATATTTTCATTTTTGTTCAGGTGGTCGTTCGGCATCGTTCTGTGGGAAATTGTTACATTAGGTAAGATTCATCGTTCAGATTATACTGAATAATCGCGATCATGTTTTAAAAATAATCAAATGATTTCTCCAATAGGTGCGTCTCCATATCCCGGCATGAACTCCCAAGAGGTGATCAACTTCCTGCAAGACAGCTACAGAATGGACAAGCCAAAACACTGCTCTGAAGAACTGTAAGTAATGTTAATTTGATGAGCAGCGCTTCAATGGTTGACGGATCATAATGAAGCTAATTTTTATAGGTCATGTCAGGCCTGTTTAATTTGTCGAAACAGACGACGGTTTGCGATCATCGGGATACACATATTAAGGATGAAAATCTATCTGTTTAATAATTTAAGGGATGCAGAGACACCAGTGAAAAGAACATGTATGTTAAAGGAGCCCAGACATGGTATTTTGAGTTATTTTGACTGCGCACAGAATTCCCTTAAAGTTGATGGAAACCTGAAAATAGTAGTTTGCTAAGATAGAAAGATACCAAAGAGATAATAATAAACCATAAAAGAACAAGGATGTTACAGGATGGAGAAGATTGACACGGATTACAGACGAAGAACTTGAAAAATTAGGCTAAAATTCTCAAGATGCGCAAATCGTGACGTAGCCTCTTTATGGTAACATGGAAGAAACCAGCAAGAAAGAACTTCGATTCCCGCTGGTTGCCAAGTCAACTTTAGAAAATCTAGTTTTATAATGTGTAAGATATATATCTTGTTAACCAATCGCGAGGGCCGTACTGCGAGAACATCGGCCCGATGTCTTGACAACACGGATCGAGCGCAGCAAGGAAATCTACCAGAAAATCTTCAAGAATGATCGTGTGGCATCATTCGGGATATTGGAGTGGCAATGAAGCAATCTCTTTGGTTGATCTTAGTTATTGGCCCTTTGAACTAACCTAGTCGTGTAATAAACATTGAATAGCACCAAACTTTAAACTGATCTTTATTTCTATTCAGAATCTGAAGGCTGAATTCGAGCTCAGTTTATATGGGTTATTGACCAAGTCTGAGGTCAAGATGGCTGGATATTGGCCAAGTTCTTTTTTTGCGAGTTTATGGACCGAGACGGAGTCGAGGTCCATAAACTCGCAAAAACAGA